TGAGGTGCAGGGAGCGCTCTCTGGACATCTTCAGGTGACGTCTGCCAGCTGACCTGGTAAGGAGAGCTTTAAACTGGGAATGGCAGGGGAGGGGACAATCCCCGTTCCGGTGGGGATGTGGTGGATGGGGTGGGCATGCAAAAGGGTGCTCAGAGAGGTAGTACAGTCTCCATCCATGGAGATATTCAGAACCCAACTGGCCACAGTCCTGTGCAACCTGCTCTAGCTGCCCTTGCCTGAGCAGGGGGCTTGGGCTGGATGATCTTGAGGTCCCTGCCAGCCTCAGCCCCTCTGTGTCCCCGAGGCTTCACCGTGCTTGGCACTGTGGCTCTCTGGTGCTGGGATTGCTGCTGTGTTCAGGGAGCCAGTGTGGCTGCCCGTGCCAAGCCACTAATGAGGGGGCAAGGGGGCCCGCCGATCAAAAGCCACTAATGAGGGGGCAAAGCTGGTGCCCAGGAGCAGCCCAAAGACCCCCTGCGGTTCGGCTGCTGATCATCACCTGCTCCCTCCCTGTTGGCCTGGTATCATTAGCTGCTCGTGCTGCCGCGCATCTGCAGCGAGCATCTGTCACGCCAGCTCCCTGCTGTCAGGCAGACGATGGCTGTTGTCCCTGGGCTGGGACTAGTGGCTTGTTAGGGCTGGGGTGTTGTGACTGGGCTGACAAAGGGATGCTGGGGCTTTTCAGCAAGGTGTCAGCTCCCAGTGCCCCTAAACTGGAGTAACCTAGCAGCATCATGTTCCTCCCTCCTTGGGGGAAGGAGAAGGGTCTTGGCATTGTGATGGGCTGAGACCAGCCCACTCGGCTCAGGTGTGAGGCTCCCAAGCAAGCTCTGGAGCAGGTAGTACCACTGGGGACTCCAGAGCTCGTGCCCTGGAGTGGTCTGTGAGCATTGCTGCTGCTGGACACCCTCCCCGGGCAGTGCAGCCCTGCACCAAAAGCCACAGCACCAGAGCAGGCAGGTCTGGCCCGGCTGACCATCACTCTCAGGGACCCTATGTGCTGCCCATCAGCCAGGAAGCGGTTGCATTTTCCTCCCATAATTGCTTGCTGCTTGGCCAGTGAGTGAGCCAAGTGCATGCTGGATGGCTCCCAGGGGAAGGCTGTGTCCTTCACATCCTGTCCGCACTTGGCAGGCTCAGCCACAGTGGCCTGAGGCGGCTGAACACCCTCTCCATCCTCCGCTGGGGCTGGCTGAGGGGGTGGTGGGCTGGGAGCACCCTGACCTTGCAGGGGATGACAGACATTCCCTTCCTGCCCTAGAGCAGCTCTGCAGCCTCCCTGGGTGCCCAGCCTGTCTCAGCTCACACACCCTGGGAGCAAGAGAGGAAGGCTGAGCAGTGCCTCAGTTTCCCCAGTTGTCACCCATCTGCAGCCAGACCCCTGCAGGGTTCGCATGGGCTGCCAGGGTGGTCTTCCTCCCCTTGCCTGCCCTGTGCCTGGCAGAGCTGTGCTCCTGCAGCAGATCTGTGTTCTTTTTCTGGCCTCCCATCAACCCTCTTCTCCCCACTGTGGTTTTCATCCAGGGCATGGGAGGATCCTGGTTAAAATGAGCTGGTTTGTTGGCATGGTCCTGCCAGGCAGGTGAGTTCAGGGCACAGTGAGCCAGAACTCCTGGGGTCTCTGCCCATCAGTTCCCGAAACATTTTTCCAAACAATTTACAAGGATGCTGGAGAAGCAGTGGGTGCTTCAAAGCACACAGCAACCTGCCAAGAGCCCAGATTGTGGCCAGGGAGTAACTCATTGTGCAGAGAATGCATCTGCTCACCGGTAGCCCAGCATAGCTGAGCCTGCCTGCCGCAGCCTTTCTGCAAGAAAAGACCAAGCCCTGTGCTGCCTGCACCTCCACAACTCCTAGTGCTAGGACGCCTTCTCCATCCCTGGGACAGTCAGGCTTGCCAACACCCTCCACTGCAAGCAGCCCAGCATTGAGATGCCAAGGACATGTGGGAGCAGGGATTACACATCCCACCAGCCTGGGAGATCCCAGCCCTTCTGCTTTGGGCTGCTCAGGTGCTGGGGAGCTCCATCTCTAGAGAACCTGAGCACAAATCCCTTTGCTCCAGTACAGAGAGGAACTGCTCCTGAAAAGAGATGAAGCTGTGTGTACAAGCCCCCCCGCAAAGCAGCCTAAACCAGGTCACTAAACAGGTCAAAGTGACCTGAATTAGGAGTGAAGATGCTGGCAGGGGCCCAGGACCGGGAGGCAAGAGCCACCCCAGCCGC